TAAAACCTGAGTAGACTATATGCATGGCAAGTACCCTGCCTATTGCTCTATTGCTCTGGCCCCTCCAAACTTTTGCTTATGTATTACTTTGCTGTTTGTCTTCTCCCATGCTTTGTAACCCACTGTCAACCAGAAATATCATGTATATAATTAAACTTTTTTGTAGCCACATCAAAGAGTTGTGAAATAACAAAGTTATTTTAATAAAATTTAATTTGGTACATAAAATCATTTTTAAAACAATGAGCATTAGACAGAGCGACATCTTGAACTCCTGAGAAACCTCAATGAGATTGGTTACCATGTGGATATGTTCAGTCATGCTGAATCCTTTTTGGAACCAGGCTTGCTCGCATGATTGTCCTTCATCTAGTGTTCTGCCAATCCGATTCAGGATGACTTGAGTGAACAGCTTGTAGATGACAGACAATAGGCAGATCAGGCGATAGTTACCAATGTCGTGGATGTCTCCCTTCTTGTACAGTAGAATGGTCCTGCTGGTTTTCTATTGGGATGGAACCTTGCATTCAGATAGGTAGCACGTGAAGAGCTGAGCCAGTGCATTGATGAGTACTGATGGCAGATTCTTCAGGTATCCGGGTCTGACCTTGTTGGTGTGCTGTTCACTTCTTTACCAATGAAATGGAGTGTCAGATTTCAGAAGCAGTCAGATTTCGGAAGACTGAAGTGGTCATCGAAGCCTTAGCCAAACAGAGCATTCAAACTCAATATATCAGGATCCTCAGTGAGCTGTATTACAGATTCACTGCCAGGATTTCACCATTCTACAAGGAAGTGATCATCCATGTCAAGAGAGGGGTTTGGCAGGGTGATACCATTTCACCGAAACTCTTCAGTGCCACCCTCAAGAATGTCATGCGACGACTGGAATGGGAAGGAATGGGAGTGAAGATAGGTGGTCTGCAACTACACCACCTCTGCTTTGCTGATGACATTGTTCTAATGACACCAAACATTAGCCAAGTGGCACAAATGCTGGCTGACTTCGACCGTGAGTGTGGAAAGGTCAGACTCCAGCTGAATCTCACAAAGACAATGTTCATGAGAAACAGACTCGTTCCTGACATTCCATTCGCTCTCAACGAAATGAACATCTGTGAATGCAAGTTATGTGTACCTAGGTCAAGAAGTCAACACGACAAATGACCTGGCACCTGAGTTGCACAGGGGAAGAGAACAGCTTGAAATGCCTTCAAGAGCATCAAAGAAATAACTAAGAGGATGAAGAACCTCTGGCTCTGCGCACATCTTTTTGACTCCACCGTTCTTCCTGCATTAACATATGCCTCAGAGACCTGGGCCCTACAAAAAACAGGATGAGAACGCTATTCGGGTCTCCCAAAGAGGAATTGAAAGAGCTATGCTTGGAGTATAACGCTTTACTCAAGTGAGAGAGGGAATCCGGAGTTCCGACCTCTGTTGACGATTGAGAATCAGGGATGCTGTCTCAAGATGCCAAGGCGTCGAAAATCAGATGGGCTGGACGTGTAATGAAATTTAGAGACAACCGCTGCACTAGTGCCATTACCGACTGGATTCCACAGGACTTTAAAAGATCGTGTGGTCGACCACCTAGCAGATGGTCAGACATCTCCGTGTTCCTGGAGCAAGCAGACGCCATTGGGCTACACTAGCACAAGACAGGGACAAATGGAGATGTTATGGCGCCCGCTCAAGCAAATTGATGAGTAACGAGATGTCAAATGATCAAGTGATATAAAATCATTACATTTCAATAAGTAATCAACAAGTGATTAAATATCAAATAATCTTTGATAAGATTATTAAATATTGCATTCTTTGTGTGGTGTTAAATCTTTTAAACTTGTAATGCATATCACTTAAGATAAGTCATGTTCAAGTGCTCAGTAGTTACCTTAGAGAGCATTATCCTTACTCTTGGCATTTCTTTTTCCATGCTATCCTTCAAGTAGTAATGATTATTATATAGTAACATTTCCCTCCTTAATACCCTCTGCTGGTGGGAGTATAAGTTCATTCAGGAAATAGCCCAACTACCTTAGTGTCATATATCTATTCAATATTTTTTGAATGCTCACTAAGTGCTAGGCAAAAAAAATGGTTGCTGCATATGAAGCATTTTTCATTTTAATGGGGGTGTTAATTCTTCAGGTCTATAATACATAGAGGCCCTTCCCCTTATACAAGTTGAGTCCATCTTTCTCCCACCTTATTTTTTCCAAACAGATAATGGAGGTTTCTCATTGTTCAGTGCTGGGCTAGATGCTGTCATTTAATCTTCATTGCCAATCTATGAGAAGAGTATCACTATCACCCCAATCTATGGTTTCAGAAAAGATGCCACAGGTAAGGGATTTGTCTAATAACACACCCACTCACTCACAGAGAGTCAGTTGTGGGCATTCTGCCTTCAGACTGGGATTAGTGGGTGTGCAAGAGTTAGAGCAGGGAGTAAACGTCTCACCACTGAGCTACCCTACTGTGCCTCTTCCGAACAACACCATTGTTCTTGTTTAACACTCCCTAAAATTTTTCTTCCCCTGCTCCCTATTTATTTGATGATATGATGCCACTGTCATCCAGGACTCATTTAAAACCTACTGCATTTCTCTGTAGTTTTTCCAAATACCTTTATATAGAAACTCTTTCCACAGTTTTCCATTCTTCGTCACCTCTACAGAAGTCCTCTCTCTCTCTTTTCTTGTGAGTTCCACAGCTATAACAGAACTGTATACATTACATTCTTGTATTTGCTGATACTATCACGATCTTTCCCTCTGAACTCCATGAGGTCAGGGTCCAGGACTGGTTTATTATTATTTTTATTAAAAAATTATCTGTAGCCCTTGACTGCTTGAAATTAAGGGACACATTTTCCCCATTTGTTTTCTTTTGTCTTTGACCCCAGTGAGACTGCCCTGGTGCTATCATAATCACTATTCCAAGGATTTCAGTTTCTCTTAAAGCACTGGAGGATTGGGAGCATTTATGACCCAGAAGAGACAACAAAGAGATACATAATTGTCAAAGGATCCTCTGCTAGAGATAAGGGTTGTTTCAGGCTTTTCACAGTGACAAAGAAGCTACTATTTGTCTTTACAAAATGTGTCTTGGCTTATAGAGAACTGTTGGTGGGCGATTATTCCTGCTTCAGTAGGAAAATCTTGCCAAGAGGTTGGAGCCATCCCTGCTAGTATTACCTACTGTTCCAGAAACTCAGGAAGTGTCCTGAATTTGGGATAGAGCTAAATGTCATTAATTTTTGGTGTTACAAGTTGTTATTGATGAATTTAGGTTCATATTTACCTTTCTTTAGCAAATGTTTGCTGGTGCTACATTTCAGATAAATATTTAACACATGTAAAGCAATATTTTTTTCTTTTAACACCTTGAAACGTTTTCTAGCCATCTATACTCCTGAGCATAGAGCCAGGAGTAAGCCTTGAGCAGTTTTGTGTGAAATCCCACTCTCATCCAGCCTCCAATAGTTTTCCCTTTTCTCCATGTTATTTTTATTCTTTTTACCTCCTTCCCTTGTTTTTTTCCTAGTATTTAAATCTCTAGTGAGCATCTGAATAAAGTGATGAGAGCAATTACATACCTTGTACCTAAAGTCAGTTTTCTCTGTAAGCCTCAGCTTCTGTGAATAGGGAATAATGCAACATAGTCTCGAGTGTGGTGAGGATTAGAATCGAAACATGCTTGCAGAATGTCACACGTTAGTTTAGTCCTCTTTAAATGGCAGCTATTGATAAAAGCACATCTGCTTTTATACCTTTTATAACTTTAAAGTTACTCTCCCGAAAATTTACAACAAAAGGGGACTAGGACCCTAGTAAGAAAAATAACTCTTACTGACAAAGAGCTTTACCAATATCCTATTGGAAATAGACAGGATTGCCCTCCATAACTGCTGTATTATATTTCAAGTTTCTTCCTGCATAGTACGAATTTTGCTCTTCTCAGCTAGCCTTTTGTAGTCATTATTAAACAAGTACCTTAACCCTGTTAACAATAATGCCTATAATAACCATACTAGGTGCCAGGCACGAGGGCGGGGTGGGGGGCGGGAAAGTCGTATTTAATTCTTCATAGAGCTTGTGCAGCAGGTACATCCGTGATCAGTGCCAGTTACAGAAGCACACTGTGAAATGCCCTTGAAGGTGACCCCCCGCTGTGCCGGGCTAGGGGGTCCAAGCATACGATGATACGCTTTCTTTCAGAGGCCCCAAGTTAAGATTCTTAACCATTCATCTAAGATTCGAAGAACTAGAACAAACTGGTAGGAGTCCTGAAGATCCGTTAGTTCCTTTCGGGTTCCTTGTAAGCATCTTTCAAAAGCGGGGGTGGGCTGGGTGGGTGGGCGTCCTGTTTTCCTCTCCAGCGCGTGGTTAGGAGTTAGGGGCGGTGGTACTTCTCCACTTCAGGGGAACCTCCGACTCGAAAAACGAGTTCGACGATTCAGATTAAGGTCAGTCCAGATTTTACAAAGAGGGGCGGGGCGTTCCGAAGTAGTAGCGGGGGTGGGGTGGGGGTGGGGGGGAGAGCGAGAGAGCTGAGCCTAATGGAACGCCGCGGGGCGCTGATTGGCTGGCACCAACGCCCGTTCGGTATCCGTCCCGCCCCATGTCCCGGAGGCCTAGCGGCGGGGCCGGCGGGAGCCCCGAGGTGGCCGGCGCTGCCAAACGGGCAGGGGGCGTGACGCGAGGGGCGGGGCGGGGGCGTGCTGGGGGGCGGGGCCAGGGCGCGCGCGCGTCACGGCCTGCAGCCCCGCCCCCGGGCTCCGACGCGCTCCCTCTTCCTCCCCCGCCCGGTCCTCCCTGGCTCAGTTCTCGCTCCACGTTCCACGCCGCGCGGCCTCGGTCCCCGGCGAGAGCCTGCCCGGCGGCGGCCGCGCGCCTCCGCGCGCTCCGCGTCTCTCGTGCACGGCCGAACTCCCCCCTCCCCTACTCCCCGAGACACACACACAGACACACACTCACACACACACACACGGACGCACGTTCGTTTCTCCCCGCGTGCGGGGGGTCTCGGGGGCTGCGGCAGCGGCGGGCAGACGGAGCGTGGCAGCGCCGTAGCGGCCGCCGCGGGCTGGCCGGCTGGCCATGGAGGCGGATGGGGCCGGCGAGCAGATGAGACCGCTACTCACCCGGGTAACGATCCGGGCGGCGGGGCGTGGGGCGGGGAAAAACGGGAGTTGGGGGAGGAGGTGGCGGGTAGGTGGTGGTGGTGGTGGTGGGGGGGGGGGGCCGCGCGGGGCCCGGCGCTGTGCGAGGCAGACAAAGGCGGGAGCGCGGCGGGCGGCGCGGTCCGGCTACCTCGTCCCAGCCCGGCTTCCCTCCGCCTCGCCAGCCCCTTTGTGTGGCCGCCCCCGAGCGCGGGTGCGATGGGGACGGACCGCGACGCCGGCCCCGTGCCGAGTGTGGGCTGCCGGCCGCGTTCCCCGCGCATCCTCGCCGCCCGCATCCTGGGCACCGCTCGGGCGGGAGCGGTGGCACCGTCGCGGGGGCGACCCTCTCTCCCTCCTCTCCGCTGCGCCGTGCCGCCCTCCCTCCCGGTGCCCGGGTCTCGGTTCTGAGCAGCCCCCTCTGTGCCCCCCCCCACCCGAACATCCCTCTTTCTTCTCCCCGGGTGGAGGAGCGCAGCTCCACCTGTCTCCCGGCCGCCGGCAGCGGCGGAGAGCTGGGGCGACTCTCCCCGGGTCTTGGGCGACTCCCCAGCCCGGCCGCGGTGCGCTTTGTTCGGGGAGTTCTCCGGCCGCGTGGACGGGGCCGCCCGCCTCGCGGCCGAGGCTCCCCTTCGGGCCGGCCCCACGGGGCCCGCCTCCTCCTTTGGCGGCGAGGACTGGAGGAGTCGCCCCCTGCCGCAGGCCGAGTGGGAGAACGGAGCCCCGAGCCGTCGGAGCGACTCCTGCCCTCCTCCACCGGGCACGGGCGCGTTTCCCGGAGACGCTGACTTGGGTTTCAGGATGGATGGGCAGCGGGCTGGACTCACAGAGGGCCTGGGCCACCCCTCGTGGATACCGATCGCCTGGCCGCGACTTCCTGCTCTCATGTAGAATGCATGTGCCCCCCCCCCCCCCCCCCCGCCCCATCCTCCTCCACCTCGGGCCTTCACCACCGTGGTGGGTGACCCTCTCTCTCGCTGCTCCGTCGTTCCTGATTAGGAGGGCATGGAGGTCTTCTAAATTTTCCTACTTGCAGTTCTTCCCGCTATGACCCTCGAGGAAGGGAAAGTTGCAGTGAAATTTTTTCCAGTGTTCCCCAGCCAGCAGGAAAATTTGCTTTTCACGTGTTTTTTATTTAAGAGTTGTCCTTAATCGCTCCCCTCCACCCTATCATTTGCAAGATAAGGCCCTGGAGGGTAGACGTTCAGTTTCCTCCTTGTGTTCACCTCTAGAGTCTACTCTTCACCCCACCATCTCCACTGCCCCAAACTCACCCCCAAGGAGAGAAAAACGCAGTATCCCCGTCCCCCCCAAGACTAAACTCATTTGGCAGTGGTTTGGTGGAAGACCACTCACAAGAATGCAATGGAGTACAGGAAATGCATCTTCCCTACAGAATCTTCTCTGATTCTTTATGTCCCTTGGACACATACTTCTCTGACATCAGGGCTCTGTGTTTCGGTTTTTGTTTGTTTGGTTTGGTTTGGGGGCTGCACCTGGTGGTGCTTGGTTTCGAGGCTACTCTCATCCCTGTTGGAGGGACCCTGCAGTATGGATCCTGGACCTGCTGGTTGCAAGGCATGCTCCACCAAACCCTTTGAGCCATCCAACTGGGATGTCCTCTAATAATGTGTATCATGTACTGTTGCCTCTTCCTCAGCTCAGATTTTTGACTCAGAGCAATAAAAAGTGAGTTTTCATTCCTAAAGCTGGTTAGAGACTATATGTTCTCAAATATTGCCTACTTAGCATATGAAAAATACCAGTTTTCCAATCCATTCTTTCGTTGTATTAACAGTTGCTTAAGGCTTACTCTTTAATATCCAAGACAGTCAGCTTGGTTCTTAATAGAACTTCAAATGAGGAAAATGAGACAAAGGATTACTGAACACTATTACTAATGGCATGGCAGGGCCTTTGGAAAGCTGTTTATATCCTTAAGTCTTTGAAAAGATACAATTTAGCTACAGTAAATATATACAAATCAGTAATAGGGATGAGATGCAACAGGTTATCATACCTCTAAAAATAGAGTAGGGAAGTTTGGTTTAAGAAGTAGAGATCATGACTAGAAAACTGGGAAGAAATGAACTATTGTCGCTGATAGATTTTTCTCATCATTTTCCCCCTGGTAAAAATGAAGTCATGAAAATGGAATATGATGATGTTCATCTTAACTGCTCTAACTCATAGCCAACTGCTTAATCAAAAAATAGTAGAATACAATTAATAATTATGCAGAAACACGAATAAATTTGTGATGATTTATATTTTAATTTGGAGCACTTTCATAATTTAGGCTTTAGGGTAAGTACTGTAATTCTGTAATTTTCACTTTTCAAATTTTGGGATAAGGGCAAAGTATTTTATCCTATAAAAAAATACACAACTTTGGTTGTGTTATAAAAACTCAGCTCTTCCTTGGGACTGAGTTCAACTGCGTCTACTATTCTAGTATACCAAATGTAGTTTCTTTCATAACACTGCTTACTGAGTTCTGAAATTTTAGCAAGTGTTGTATTTTCATTTAAGATGTAAATGATTTAACACAATTCTGTGGCCACTGACATTCTTGGAATTGTTCTCGTGAATTTTGTTGCTGTATGATTTTATTCATTTTATCCATATTTATTGTCTGCTCGGTGACAGACACTCAAGATATAGGCAAACTACCTACCTACAGAGCTAGCCTCTTTGAGTTTATTTTGGAATGTGTATTGTACACAATGATAACTTTTGTGTAATTGCTAATTCCATTTGTGTGTGCCAGTTAAAACATTTTCATGATTCTGTAGTCATGGACATGTAGTCATTAGAATAAATTAAAGATGTTTACAACCTTGTATGAATATAACAGTGACTATCTAGTCTTTTTGTTTGTTTGTTTTGGTAGATCTATAAGATCCTCTAGGGGGATCTGTAATTAGGTCTTGATCATTTTAGAGAAAATAGACACCTAAGCCTTTCTTCAGAATTTTAATTTGTCCTCCCCCCACCCCCCCTTGGCCTTAGTTGGTATTTCTGGCTTTCAGTCCATGGATTTGTAGCAAAGACAGACCCAGCAAATCTGTCATCTGTCCAAATGAAACTGTAGGACAATTGAATTGGATTGAAGAATCGTTTTACTTGGTAATTGAGGTTGTAAAGTACACAGGTTTTGTTCAAAGAGAGATTATGAAAAATTTTGAATTTTCTTTTTTTTTTTTTTGTTACGCTAGCCTGTTACTTGAGTAGGTTAAAATCGAAACCCAAAGTAATCTGGTTTTGGAGCAACCTGCTGTATATATTTTTTGGTGGTATGTGGTGTGCTAACTAACCAATTTATTATAAAGCTTTGGTAGTTTTGCTGTCAACATCCTGTAATGGTTTTTTTCTTCTTCCTCTTTCCTTCCCTTCTTAGTATATTTTACCACAAATATGATCTTAAAGGGGATAGGGTCTGCAACTGACAAAATGGCTCATTTAAATAAGGAACATCCTGCAGTTATTCACATGGTTAATGTTAGATTAATCAGTATGATTTTGATTTGTAATTCTTTCCTCTTATTATTTTTCCATAATTATATATCACTTTAATACATAGAGGTTCTTAGTTTTTCAGTAACATGCCCTCTTAATAAATGCCTGTTATATATATGTAAAGTTTGTGACTTCTGTTTGTGCCCTCCTTTTGTTGGGGAGTAGCACCTAGTGATGCTCAGGGCTTACTCCTTACTTTGCTCAGGGATCACTCCTGGCAGTGTTTAGGCGATCATATGTGGGACTGGAACCAAGCACCTTAATCCTTGTACTATCTCTCTGACCCACATGAGCCCTCTTTTGAACCAAAGGATTTGATTTCTGAGCCAAAGTGATACCAGTGACACTTTATTATTACTATTATTATTATCATTACTTAAATTTTAGTCTCATTTAAAGGAATGATTTAAAAATTATTTTTTATTGTAGTTTCAGTAACATGGTTTCTGGTAGTATATGGCAAAGTAACTGTAACTTCACCACCCCCAAAGTGCACTAGACCCTTCACTCACGATTACAGTATACCTTACTAATTTGCTCTAGCAGACTTCTTTTAGGCAACCATGGGGATGATACAGTGTTATAGTAGTGTTTAGCTATGCTGCTGTCTCCCTTACCTTAGTAGAGGGTTATCAGGTTGTTGCCATGCTGGGTTTCCAGATTTCTGGCTCAACTTTCATGGGATGGACATTTTTTTAATGAGAGCTGTAGGATGAATATAGTCAAACACCCCCCCCCCCCCCCCCCCCCCCGTTTAGGAGTTAGTGGGATAATTATGACAAGATTTGCATTTTAGTAGTCTATCTGATGTGCAGCTTGGATTTGGTTTGGTTACCTTAAACAGGTTTCCAAATTTTTATTCTTAAAATATTTTTAAAAACTCTAGTTTGGATTTGAATATATTTGTGGTGAAAGTTAGTTAAGTGGATAAGTATCACTGGGTTCCCATTCTGTTCACCGCAGTTTAATGATGTTTTCTCCCCCCTTTCCTTCCCTGGATGCCAAAACCTTTTACAGATTGTGAGATAGGAAGAAGCTATTGAATTGTATATCATTTTTGATTAGGAACTTGAGAGTGGTTACATCTTTGAAAATTGAAATGCTGGTTGTCTTAGACATGTTTACTTTAGAAGGAGGCATAGAAAGTCTCAAATGCATGAGAAGGGAAAATATGATACTACCTGTTGTTCTCATAATTAGCCATATCTTGTAATGATTACTTGGTGCTTTTATGCTTGGTGCATGTTCTTTTTAAATTTAGAGTGTTTTCACATCATTATTTTGGAAAACAAACACTGAAAATATATAGAACTCCTTTTAGTAATGTTTGTAATCAACAAAAATAGTAGTATAGCCGATTTATCACAGCCTCTCTTCTCCTTATGTTCGTTGGTAGTACTGGAGATGTTTCCATTTTTTAAAAAAGCCCTTTTATGATATTAAAAAATGAATTTAAGAAATTTCTAT